TACACGTCGAATGCAGTTAACTGGATAATAATCGTATCTGGTACTGCTTTTCCATCATCGTGCGCTGCGGCCAAGATGGGTGTAATTTATTTCAATCGTCATTTTTTTGAGCAGTGGCAGGTTGGGGCAGCCGTTTTTTTCTGATTCTGATAGAGGAAGGTTCACTTTTTACTACAGTAATAATTAAACCCCGCACAAGTGTACACATTTTTTTAAAATCAAACGCAAAGTTGAGATTTTAGTTAAATGTATTTCGTTTCAATCAGATCCTATTATTTAAAAAGTTGTTAACATTTTAACTTATTTTATGCACTGAATAGAATCTATACTAATCTAGTAAACTTTGTAATTCATTTGAATTTTATCTTTCCGAGTAAAATTTATTAGAATCGTACATTGAAGTTATGGGTAATATTATCAGCGTTTCATCTTGACGAATTTCTACTGACTTTGAGTGCGAACCACGGCAAAACGGAAAGAAATATGAAAAAACGGATTACATTACGTTAAACTACAGTTTATTCTCTATCGATGTATGTAATTAGTTTTTCAATTTTCGAATTCACGAAAATCGACTTTTGATCGCCGAAAGCCGTTTTGTCCGCACTGTGCGCCGGATCAACGGCCATGTGGCCCAAAACGCTGGCCCAAACCGCCTTGACTTTTATTGCGTACCGGCCGTGCACGCTACACCGTTAAAAAAAATTTTTTCATTTTTTCATTGTTATTGCAAAATACAGAAAATTTCTAATCTCAACATAGGATGATTTCAATGACCCTTTAATATGTTGTCATGGGCATGATTCTGAACAACTTTTTTATTATGCTGTTACGTGGCCGAAGGCTAGGCAGCGCGTGTGGCTAGCGGAGATTTTCGGATAAGAGGCCGCATAACTTATATTATTTATAGTCAATACAACCCGAACGGTTAGGTTGTATCATTGTGGGAACTGTCACTAGTTTCACTGGGTTTAAAGAAAGATGCTAATGTGGGTTGACACAGCAATGTATATATTTTGCATATGTGGTTATTACAATTGTTCTTGGCGCGAATGTAGGTGTGTATTGTATATTACCTATTTCCGCTGATGCTCGGTTTTGACGCACTGGCAATGCGGGGGTATTATGTGTGGTTGATAATAATGCCAAATAGAAACACTGATTCGACTCGCGGATTCTATAAGGTTAACTTTGCTTGAAGGGGACTTCAACCCGATCTTACTAAACAGCAACCAGCTCACGTTCGTACACGATGTGCTCAACACTAGATGAACTTTGGAACTGCCCCAGAGCGTTGGTACAAACGGGTTTATATACTAGTTAGAAGGGGTGATCTGGTTATCATTTAGATAATCGGGCTGGGCCCATCTGTTTGGTGATGTTTAAAGTGGTTGCATCTGCTATGCGATTACGGTGGACCCATTGCTTTCCCAAAACATTTGGTTCTGTTATCGCTGGGCCTTCTGTTTATTTCAAGATCAAGCGGCCTGTTTTCCTGAGAGTTTTCCTTCCCAGATGTTAAAGGTTTACTTCTTAAGAGAGGCATGTTTGATAAAACGATCTGCCTTTATTATTGTTAATATCTATTGTTATAGCAAAAAACCTATTTCTTGATGTTACTCTGCAAGGAATGAACCGATCGCGATGAAACCTTTTGTTACGGCAATGTGTTTAACGTAGGCATTTTGTAAAATGGCCAGGCATTGTGTAGAATGCCCGTTTGAAAACACATTGTGCAAAATGTCCGCAACAAGTTTCAGTCACTCTATAAAATGTCCTAGAGTAATAGTGTTGTTTAAATAATAACGAAAGCGTTGCTGGCCGCCTTAGAGCGGCCGGATTCAAGTATACACTATACACTATACAGCCATACGTAACCTTGTAACAGTACTTTTTCTATACTGTGTCTTACTTTTTACACGTTTGGTAACGGGGAATTTTTAGGTTGTCTGACAAGAAACAGCGATAGATATCTGGTAGAAATCTGCTTATATATTTTCGGAAGAGTCATACATCAAGGAACTTTTACGACCGGAATTAATATTCTTTAATTCAGAAAACGCGGAACGCCACTCCTGGCTCGTAGTACAACAATTTATACCGAATAACTTTAGAAAACGCGAACGCCACTCCTGGCTCGTAGGACAATGCTTTGTTGAACGACCTATTGAAATAATCTCGGTTCTTGTGAGAATGAATAGAATCCAAGCAATTGATATATATATATATATATATATATATATATATGAGATTATCAGAACGACGAGAGGTCTTGCCCTTGCGGGATAGAGTCGCACGTCGCTAATGTGCACAAAGTCTTTGCGTTCCGTGATATCTAGGAAATGTCCAGAGGCACTTCCGTGGTCTCTTGGATTTTTCCAGATTCAGTGGTTCGTTCAGTACCGTGCTTCCTCACACACAATAGATGGAATTTTCGCCGGAACGACAATTGCACACTTGCCACCAGTAATGGGTAGGCATGCACTGTCGGCGGTTGCTATTAGATGTCTTTAAGATTCGACTGATAAGAACCGAAATTATCAATTTAACGCAACTAATGGTGTAACTTGTTACGTTGGGCGAGACTATGTTTGTTTGGCTATCTTGGCACTATTGCTTAGAACAACTAACAATAAGAGGTCTCGGCAGAGCACGATTACGTGACCTCGACGATTTCTCTGTTTCTAACAAACAGTGACCTTGACGTTGATACTATTTCGTTACATGAATATTGAAAAGAATTGTCTTGAATATATAAAACGCGAAGCACGAATCATATGTGCCACAAACCCAGGAGTCACAAACTGAGTCGCAGCACTGCTTCACGGAATTTGTATTTCACTGGTGTTGACGTGAACCGAATTAGTGTAACAGAATTTGGATGTAATAAATTCTTTAAACTGACTACTACGACGAAACCTTGGTTATTGGCGAACGGGTATCCCTTGTAGCAGTGCCGCGGCTCAGTTTGTGCACGCGACTCCTCGGTTTGAGGCTTATACACGAAGACAGTAGATCGGCAGTTTGACGATTGTACCAAGGCGGTTTGACTCGCCTTCGCGTACCGTTTCTCGCCCAACGGACCCTCGTATTTCGCGTCTTACCGCTAGCGCATTCGAACGTAGAGTGCCGGATCATCGATCCCGCATCGATCTCCTTCGATCGATCCTAGGTGGGGATCGATGCGCACGCATCTCGAGCGAGTGGGAATCGTTGTCGTTTAAAGGGCATGCTCCTAATGAGCCGAATATACAGGGAGATTCTCTCGGCGCGCAACACAATAGCCGCCCCGCACAATGGAACCCTGCTGTGTTTGCGGGCAAAAAGCCCAGGAGGTCAAATCGCCGGACCCAAGACTGCTCTGTGTGTTTTGGGTCCGGCAATTTGACCTCCTGGGCTTTTTGCCCGCAAACACAGCAGGGTTCCATTGTGCGGGGCGGCTATTGTGTTGCGCGCCGAGAGAATCTCCCTGTATATATATCAATATGTAACATATACGGTTACAACCTATCACATCTATGTATGGTTTTAATAATAATAATAATAATAATAAGTTTAATGTCAACGAACCGTGGGGTTTATATAAAATGTCCGGGCCATTTGTGAAATACTTGCCCATTATGTATACATTGCCCAAAAAAATGGGCATTCTACACAATGTCCGATCATTTTACAAAATGTCCACGTTAAACACATTGCCCGTAACATCTTTCACATCTAATAGCAGATATTTCTGCGATGATCCCATTTGCAAAAATTTATGGAATTCGTTATTGTTAATAACTATTGTTATTGTAATTATATAATAAAAGCGGTAAGCCACCTTACGGCATCCTACAAATACTGTTCGTTCCACTAAAAAGTGTGAAATAAAATAATTTTTAACAAAAAATACAACCGACTTCAAAATGCGCTAAAAAGTATGAAATAATTTCTATTTCATTTATACCAATATTCCACAACTATTAATAAAATCTATTTAATCGTTAAATAGTATACTAAATACATTTCAATCTTTTCAGAGGCGGCGCAAAATTATAAACTTTTCTTCTACTAGGAAGATCATAATTCAGGCGTCGGCAACCTATAACAAATGATAATTTCAAGTAAACAATATTTAACGGGAATCAACATACCCATTGCAAATTAACAAGATGTACATCAGAAGTGCTGCAAACTTTTGATGCAATCGTTACAATTACAAATGTTTACTGCCGTATCTATAATGTTTCGAATTTTTTCTTACGACTTATTAATTACTAAGTTCGCCATACCGCAATCAAATTGTTATTGGCAGCATAATTTATTCAGGTATTTTTAATTTAGTGCTGACTCCAAAAAGGTTGAAATGTATTTAGTATACTATTTAACGATCAAATAGGTTTTATTAATAGCTATGTAATATTGGTATAAATGAAATAGAAATTATTTTACACTTTTTAGCGCATTTTGAAGTCGGTTGTATTTTTTGTTAAAAATTATTTTATTGGTTCGATTATTTGTTTAATTTTATTGAAGGGGAGTTTGGGTTAGCAATAAAATAAAAAAATGAGTTAGTATTTAGTCAAACATTTTTTTAAGTATCGGTGTTATTATTTGTTTAATTTTATCAAAGGGGACTGTTACGTTGGCAATAAAATGAAAATGACTAGATCGGTTGATCGTAAGACTGCCTATGATCGATTCAGATCAGATAAAAAAACCATTAGTGAATGTCGCATGTGCCTAAATTAAGTCATATATTTTTAAAATCCTTTTATTATTCATCCATCTGCCCTCGTGTACTCTAACATAACATTTATCGCACGCTTCCCTCGGTACCCACGCTCTTATTGGCCAGTATTTTTCGTTAATAATTCAAAAACAAAGCTTCAACCAACATTTTGGTAAAGGAAAAAATTGTTCAGAATCACCCCAGCAACCCCCTATTTCCGGGTGTTACGAGGGTTATGAGACACCCTGTATAAAGATTAAACATTGATGGGTTTATTTAATTTCAGGTACCAACAAAGGAAAGAACAAGAAAGGCAAGAGTTCACTATACACGTTTGATGGAGATTCAACAAATCTAGCGGGAATCTTTGCGTTAACGATACAGAAGAAATCGTAAAAACTGTCTAAAGGTTTTGCGGATTGTCAATGGGAAGCTTTAGTTTTCGAGAAGTGACAAAAGAAATTGACGAACCATCGTACTGCATAGAAATAATAATGTACTAACATAAAAATAATTCGTAAATCAGACTAATCACAGGGATGTTCGCTGTAAAAAACTGTTTGCTCACTGTAAAATACTGAGAAGAATGTTTAATAGTAAGATTGCAATAATATCTGCTTCAATTACTATAGTGTTCAATGTACAAATACTTGAGCTACTTAAATGACAAATTTTGTAAATGAAACATAATTAAGAAAAGAAAATTGGAAATTGTAAAGGATGTAATTGAACCTTTTTCTCAGTGTGCTGTCATGTTTTTGTCATCAAATTGTACGATCGACTGCTCTGCGTCTCATTCGAATACTGCCGCTGCGTTATTCGCAATTTTTATTCGCGTGACCATTAACCCTGACCAATTGCGCATCGAACGCGTTATCAGCAACAGCTACACGTGAAAGTACCGACAACTACTTTAAATATTTTAAAATCTCATCTGCATGAATTCGAAATTGAGAAATCAACGTGTCTATTGTCATCGATTGAAAGGAAGGTTAGAAAACAAGTCAATTTAGAGACGGAATGATGAATCACGCACGAGTATAATCGACAACTATTGTATAGTTATAGATAGATCGTATACGTATCGCTAGTCATGCTGTGTTACCATGAATTGTATAGTTGAACGAATGAGATCATTTGAAAGCATTGAGACCTTTACTGCCATTATCGAGAAACATCGTTTTAACATTAGCGTAATTACGGACTGTGGTGGAGCTATCCCCCATCTTAGGCACACAAAATTGTGGATTACCCCCTCATGATTCTACAATTCTAAGATTTCAAGATTCTAAGATTTTAAGATTCTAGAATTCTGAATTTTTTAAATTCTAGAATTCCAGAATCCTAAAATTCTAAAGTCCTACAATTCCAGAATTCTAAAATTCCAAAATTCCAGCTTACCCTCATAAAAAGTCCTAGTTACGCCAATGCGTTTAAGTAACTAATGTATACTACCATAGTATTCTAATTTCCACAACAGCAAAAAATAAACATGAAATATCAATCTAATTTCTAACAAAAAATATCAGTACAGTAAGTTGTTGTTACCATACTCGTTCACAGAACGTTTTTATACTAATAACTTTTGCATCTACATTTTTACAGTGGTGGATTTTTCTTTTGATGACTCCATCTAAAAATTCAAAAGACAATCGAACATTCTTCACTCAAAATCTTACATTAACTTTAAAAATTTGCATGTCTCTCCGATATAGAGGAAAATTCACCATCATACTTATTTTTACGAATAAGCATTTTCCTTACAAAATCACTATCCCTATCCCTACTAATATATAAAAATGAAAATGTCTGATCGTGTGTTCCTCTTTCACGTTTAAACGGCTAAACGGATTTTAATGAAATTTGCATTATTGGACAGCTTATTCTTTCAAGATGGACATAGGCTATGTCATATTGCGATTGGTTATGTTTTTGACTATTTGGTAGTACTCGGCATTGCCACCAAGACCCCTCGGTATGCTACACTCATAATACATATATGTATATGTATGTAGATTTATCAGTTTTTTGGGCTGTAGTTCCGAATGTCCCCGGTCGCGGATCGACATGAAATTTGGAGGGTTCGTTGAGAGCAGGTAGACGACTCCAAATATAAAGTGGTGTCTTCGGCTTCCTATTAGTTTCCAAGATATTAATTAAAAATTTTCGGTACAATACATAGACTTCTGTTTATACAGACGTAACTAACACAGCCATCTTCGCTGTAGCAACCGTCATCGTCAAATGTCGAACAACCGTTCACACCATACGCTTCTATAGGGTGACCCATGTAAAATCCATTTTTTTTTTTTAAACTTTTTGTAACTTTTTCCTTTCCTTATCGTAAATTACCGTAAATTACCATTTATACGTAGGTTAGGTTAAGATAGATCAGGTTAAATAAATTTCCGGCTGCCGGAAGACGACCGGCAACTCTGCAACAGTCGTCGTATCTTCAAAGTTTTAAATAGGACACCCTATAGATAGTTAGGTTGGAACCCCCGCTGCGTCAACGGCTGTTCGACACTTAACGATGACATCTACTACAGCAAAAACGGTTGTGTTGTTGCGTCTGTATAGGAAAAATTCTATGTATTGTACAAAAGTTTTTAATTAATATCTCAGAAACTAATAGGAAGCCGAAGATACATATTATTAGAGATACTTATATTTGGGCAGCCTCCCCCCTCCCCTCAAAATTTCATCTTGATCGGCGACCGGGGACATTCGGAACTTTATCCGTTTTTTTTTTGCTTTTTGGCATTCGTTTCCTTATTCATGTCGTATCAGACAAAGAAATATTTGTCATTAAAAAAAAAAATTGCACCTTGCATTTAATAGTATTTCTGTTTGTATTAAAGTGTGTTTTAGCTGATTTCTTTCAATTTTTAACATTCAATTTAAAATGAACTATTGGCGAATTTATGAGAACGCTGTCGAATATTCTCGAAGAGTTGGTGGCGATTTTACGAGAACGCTGTTTAATTGTTAGCGACGTTACGAGAACGCCATCAAACACTCTCCAAACGTCGCTATTATTAGTCTACCGAAATATAACCCTCTCCCCACCTATGATCAGGCGACAAATAGGCAGTCAATTTTCTATCGATTGGCTACATCAATCGCGGCGGGAATCCCGGACCGCGATCTGTATTAAAATTCCCGGGCAGAGCCGGGTAACGCAGCTAGTTATACAGGGTGTCCCACGCAACTGGAACAGGCTGTACCTCCTAAACGGTTGGGAATAGAAGAAGATGTTATAAGTAATAGTTAAATGGTATCGGACGGTGCATAATATGCAACTAATTTTATGCACTTTTGTGCATCGGTGCATCAGAAAAATGCAACTGCACTTTTTTTTTAAATGGAAACCTATGTTTTTGACTGCACCAGTCGATGCAGTTTCTTGTGCTCTACATAAAAGTACTAACATACTTATGCCCTAAACTTATTCGTTAGGAAGTTATCGAAGCTAAAATCGATATAAAATCGGGTCGGCAAACGATCGCACACGGGTAGTGAATAGTTACTCATGGAATTCTTAATCTTACAGTGACTAGTATTAGCAGCCGCTTCATGTTTACAAACATTGTAATGGAACATAACGTAAATAAGAGAGCCCGAAATAATTCAGAGAAGCTTTAGCTTCGAAAACTTCCTAACGAATAAGTTTAGGGCATAAGTATGTTAGTACTTTTATGTAGAGCACAAGAAACTGCATCGACTGGTGCAGTCAAAAACATAGGTTTCCATTTTTTTAAAAAGTGCAGTTGCATTTTTCTGATGCACCGATGCACAAAAGTGCATAAAATTAGTTGCATATTATGCACCGTCCGATACCATTTAACTATTACTTATAACATCTTCTTCTATTCCCAACCGTTTAGGAGGTACAGCCTGTTCCAGTTGCGTGGGACACCCTGTATATAAAATGAACGATGTTTGACGAGATGCGATTCTTAGTAATTTCTACAAAATACAAAGGGCCAGTTGTAACAACATTCCTAATTGCACTGTCCAACATATTTTAACTTTTTTTTTCACGGTCCGATTGCTACTAGGTGATTCTTGTAGTGTTTTGCACGTTGATTACGAATCTGCAAACCGTTTTGCTCCTATATATACAGTTTCTGAGAAATTTGAGTTTGAAAAAAAACCGTATTTTTCAGGTTTAAACAAATTTTTTGACGTAATTATAAAAGATATTGAAATTCTATTTACCTGTATTACTGCTTAAAGCAACTGCATTAGGCGAGACGCCGAGCAACCGTCCTGACGCGGAGCACCACTGTCGGTACTTCGTCTCCCTCGAAGCTACAGGGTGATCCTCTCGCTACGCTACCCGATAGGAAGTGCCGCCACAATAGAATGTAGAAGTAGACATCCCATTTCTGCCATCGCTTACTTGACCCCTGCAGCGAAGATGGCTGTGTGCGTGAAAATGTGTGTAATGACCAGAAGAGTCCCATTTAAACGCTACGGAAAACAGAATATTTTCTTAACACATTTTCACGCACACAGCCGTCTTCGCTGCAGGGGTCAAATAAGCGATGACAGAAATGGGATGTCGACTTCTACATTCTATTGTGGCGGCACTTCTTTTTGGTTAGCGTAGCGAGAGGATCACCCTGTACATATTTCGCTTTCTGGCTTGATAAAAAAATCGACGTTGCAACTTGCTCCGGGTGTTTTTTCAAGATGAAAATCTGCTCTATCGCGTGGTATAATTTGATTTTACGCTAGACCTCTACTTTTTCAGATAAATTGAAAAATATCCTAAAAAATTGGTGCCAAATCGGCGACCCTCCGCGTTCAATGACCGTTTAAACATTTATAATGTATTAAAGATAGGTATCGTTGTATTCAGGAAAGTCTACAGAATCTTTTAGTGTAAATAGAATTTCAATATCTTTTATACTTACGTCAGAAAATTTGTTTAAATCTGAAAAATATGTTTTTTTTTCAAAATCAAATTTCTTAAAAACTATACGTTAGGACCTATACTATAGGAGCAAAACAATTTGCAGATTCGTAATCACCTAGTGGGAATCGGAATGCCAATTCCCTGTTAGACAGTGTTATCGGCATTAACGAAATAAAATTGTGCGTTTCGACATTTTCTTGATTTCTTATACGGCGTTCTGTTGAGAATGAAATCGCGTCGAAACGTGCAATTTCAACAGAAGATCAGCAAGTGTGATTGAAAGAAAGAGTATACAACGGTATGTCTTTAAGGTGTACATACATGTAAGCATTACATTTAGTAGTTAAATAATCTTATCAACATGCAATATGCTCGATTATTAATTAACACCAAAGATAACTTTAAGTATTGCGTTGTTTTCATTCGCAAAATACTCTATGTGAATATTTTCATGTCTAACCTTTCACGTTCCTTGCGTTTCAAGATGAACGGAATCTGATATGAACATTACGGTTGAAACGCAGAGTGAAACGATAGGCGATACTCATGTTGATCGGATCGAACGAATTTAATTGTAATAATAATAAGACGGCAAGTCTTTCGAACGCCAGTATCGTGTTGATGTCCGATCTTCATGCGTCATGTTCTTGAAGTGAGACTGAGACTAATTAACTACGCTTATGTTAATTTCTGCCAAAGAGAGTTTATAGTTCATAAATACTATTTAAGTTAAGGCTATTGCCTTAATTGTAAGAATTAAACAAGATATCCATAACACGACGTCTATAACTGTACATTTGTCGAAAGGGAGGGCATACTTCATGTATTGTTGTCACTAAAAAGGAAAGATATGCTTCCACTACAAACAGGATCTTCCATATAATAATTTCGATGTATAAACATTTGAAGGAATAGCGATATCAAACTAACCTATAGAACGGTATTACTATTTGTATCAATATCCTATAGTAAAACTACATTTACCCGAATTGGTCCAGAAATATGACGATTCGGATGACGACATTAGTTCAGATAAATGGAGTTTTACTGTAATTTAACGTTAAACAATAAATGCCATATCAGCTTTTAAACATAATGTTTTCTGGTGAACTTGTAGAAGAGCTACTCCCCCTCCGATTTTGATGATTTTTAAATATGTTGTATAATTCGATATTTTAAGCAACTTTTTTCCTCTAAACTATATGTCGGACTCGATTAGTTTGCAAGATATTCGCGAAAAACTATGAGTACTATTGCATTGAATTTCGCCTGCACGTATACATCCGCGGCTGTGTGTGCGTCGGCAAGTGACCCTCGCTTCTCTAGTGTTTCTGTCAACAGCACCACATGGCCCGACTACCATTCATATAACGGGTGAGCTTAAAATTAAATTTAACTAATTTCAATAATTTTGACATTGGACTTGCGTGGCCAGCCGCCTAAAGGTGGCCGGAATATTAGTATAGCCTAACCGAACCTAATCTAGACATGTAAGTAACAGTAGTTTATTTTTCTCTTACTTATACCTATAGGTTAGGTTAAGTTAGATTATATTAATATTCCGTCCGCCTTTAGGCGGCCGACTACGCGAGTCAAATGTTATAATTTGATTTTTCAACTCACCCGTTGTATGATTAGGAGCCGGACCACACGCTACTGCTTACAGAAACGGTAAGCAAGAGAGCCGGCGCACACATGGCCACGAGCGCATACTTATAGGCAGAATTCGCTGCAGTAGTAACAATAGTCTTTTGCGAATATCTCGCAAACTAATCGAGTCCGACATATAGCTTAGAGGAAAAAAGTTGCTTAAAATGACGAATTTTACAACATATTTAAAAATCATCAAAATCGAAGGGGGAGTAGCGCTTCTACAAGTTCACCTGTTTTCTTATTTACTTTGTTTATGATACTTTGCGAAATCTTTTGCTAAGTAGCACATTATATATGTAGAGTATGCCCTCTCATCAAATAATGACACAATTTATTGTATACAGAGTGTCCCGGGACTCGCGTAACATTCGGAAATCGGGGATTACTGAGGTGATTCTGAACAACTTTTTTCTTTATCAAAATGTTGATGGAAGCTTCGTTTTTGAGTTATTAACGAAAATCACTGGCCAATCAGAGCACGCGCTGAACCAAGAGAGCGTTGGATTTCAAGCGCGCTCGTGGTCGTGAACAAACGCATTGGCACAGCGTGGGTATCAAGGGAAGCGTGCGATAAATGTTACATCGTCTTAAATTAAGAATAATGTGGAATTATTGGTTGCTCATGAACAACGAATAAAATAATGAATCGTTAATATAGAATGAATAAATCGAATTTATCCAACACTTTTATTTAATGTTCGATATGGATAAAAAAAATACTTTGTAGTCACTTTTGAAAAAAATGAAAAAAACGAATGCACGTTTTGGAAATCAGAATAAGTTTGCAAATAATAAAAAAAGGATTGAATGTATTTCAAAGTATTTTTTCATCCATATCGAACATCGAATAGAAGTGTTGAAACAATTCGATTTACTCATTCTACTTGAACGATTCATTACTTTATTCGTTGTTCATGAACTAATAATTCTACATTGTTCTTAATTTTAGACGATGTAACATTTATCACACGCTTCCCTTGATACCCACGCTGTGCCAATGCGTTTGTTCACGACCACGAGCGCGCTTGAAATCCAACGCTCTCTTGGTTCAGCGCGTGCTCTGATTGGCCAGTGATTTTCGTTAATAACTCAAAAACGAAGTTTCAACCAACATTTTGGTAAAAGAAAAAGTTGTTCAGAATCACCCTAGCAACCCCCCATTTCCGAGAGTTACGCGAGCTCCGCGAGTTCCGCGACACCCTGTATAAATCCTTACATCCTCAATCCTCGAATGCCGCCGGACCGTGGAGAGGGGACCAATTTTAATTTAATTTTTTATTTAATATTACTTTCATTCTCTAAATTTTACTAGGTTCCTTTAAGCATTATTCTTTTTATATATGAAACTCTCTTGTTTAAAAACTATATATTTAACTTTAAGTTAATATCCTTTTATGTTTTGTATCTTAGAATCACGACTGACCCAAGGATTAATCTTGGATGACTACCAGTTTAACAAAAAAGCACACGACCTTCAAGACATTAATTTGGTAATGGTCAACACAATTAAGAGAGAGCCCAAAGTTATGTGTCTTCTTCTCTCTATGATTTTCCAAAATTAATACTTTGAAGGTACCCTATAATTGTGCTAATTTCAGATCAAGTTAGTGTTTTAAAAGTACTAAAAGTTCTAAAAATACGTCTTTGTTTGTATGATCTATGATAAAGTTTTGTCATAATCGAGATCATGCTTCGGGGATAACCATCCGGAACCAAATCTGTGT